ATCAGTCCGTGACCTCGTTATCGTCGATGAGAAAATGCGCTCTCTGTCAATCACTGCAGTGAGTACCGAGTTATATTTTTGTTAATTTAAGATTGTTTAATGTAATCTGGATGGATGAGTTCAGCCTGCATGATAAAAAATGTAACCGTTAAACAAGTGACCGTACTGATCAGTGTTTCTATGTAGTTGATTGATGCCCTTCCTCTCAAAGCTACTGTATTGTACGAGGTAGTGGCGGTACCGCGATGCGCCGCAGGCTCGCAGCGGCAAAATTTTTCCTGATGTATGACGGGTGTCTGCACCGCCGCCAAGTGCATAAATTTTTCCTGATGTACGCCGGGGGTGTACCCCAAGTACACAAATTATTCCTGATGCACGCCAAGGCGTACGCCGGGGCAAGTTCTCAGAGCCTTGTGTATGCCGGATTAATCCGCGGAAAACAGGAAAACAGCACCATCCTGGGTATGGGAAATGCCCTGTGGTGTCATTATAAATTTTTAATATTTTAATGTAGAAATATATGAATTTAAAGTAATTTATACAATTTATTTGTTAAAGCTTTTATTATTAACCCCATGTAGAAGGGAACAAATGTAAGTGCATTTAACATACTGGAAAAATATTGCTTAAGGCTATGATTGAGAACCACAAGGCTTCAAATAAGGTCATTTTTATTTTATTTCTCTATCAGGCTCCTCACAAATTAGGGTTGACTTTAGACCAGTCGTAAATGAGACTTTCGTTATTCAAAGCTAAACCAATTATGTATTAAGAAAGGGTGGAGAGGACTAATAAGAACTAATGTTTAAAAAGTAATTGCAGATGATCTGCGACACAACTTCACAAGGTGCCTCGGTCGCCATTGTAGCAAGCACCATGGTCGCCACACCACCGCCACACCGTACCTCTACAACAACCTTCCTACCACCCCCCCCTCCCCCGCTGAGCCGGACCGTGCAATGCTCAAGAACTCGTGAACCGATAAGTACTCACAATAATTCCCTGCCACTATGTGTTCAACTCTTAGTGACTTGTGACTGTCATGATTAGTTATTAATTCATAAATGTTAACTTTTTGTGTTTGATTAGGAGACAAATTGCTAATAAATTAATATCTAATCTAAATGAAATCTCTAAGTATTGCAATGTTCTTTCTTCATTCATTCAAGTGTCACTTCAATCATTCCTATTTTTATCCTTTCTATAAATTTTTTAATCAAAAAAGTGGTGCAGGTGGATAAAAAATAATATATGAAATAATGAATATTAATTTTGAGAATTCCATCCAGAATACTACTCTGGCCCAGGCCCTCCAGCAGCCGGGCAGCCCAGCCCCCCACCATTGGGTGGGCCACTTGTAATTTGTAGCATTACCTAGACTGATTTGACAGAGTGGTTTTGTAGGTTGTGGCAAACAGGGGACTTTTTTTGTTGATCCTATCCATGAGCTTGTGATGACTGATGAGCATGAGGGCTGAGTCACTGAGGAGTGGAATCAGTGTATCCACTGGCTCATTCAATGCCGTCTGCCAGGTACCAGCAGCCAGCACCATTGAGACGCCTGTCGGAGACCACCACTGCCGTGCTTTGAATGGACTATCATGATACCTTCCCTGAAGAACGTAGCCTACAACACATCTTGACTGTAACGTTATCAGCCGCACGCCACCAGACAGATCACATCCATTGAATTAGATCAATCAGCCCACAGGAAAATAAGCCTGGCATCGTATGGCCCAGCGTCGTCTGCCAACAAGCGAAAAAAATTTACACCACCCGGGCGGAGCACGCCGGAGCCATCTGTATCTGTCCCGTGTGTCAAACCAGCCTACGGTCGAACAGCCACGCGTCATATGACGATAAATTTTGGAACAGAACTATGCTATCTGGAACCCGAACCTAACCCCAGATGCTGCAAGCTAAAAGTTACATAATTTAGCAAAGCTGTAGAAGTTGCTTGTCAAAGGACAATAGATTTTGGAACAGAACTATGCTTTCTGAAACCTAACCCCAATGCTGTGAGCTAAAAGTGACGGTCTGGTGGTGCACGGCACTGACGGCAGGATGCACACAGTTCCACTGGCAACCTGGGCTGGTTGGTCACAGTCCGTTGTCTGCAAGTTACAATTCAAGCTAAAGTCAGGGTATGAACTTATGAAGTGATGATTCGATACAACGTTCAGTTGTTGTTGTTGTTGTGGTTCCCCGGTCTCAATTTTACAAGAGACCCCCCTCGCGCAAGTACGACACCACCGACAGGGGGGTCGCTCCAGAGCTGTAGGGTCGAGGTTATGTGATGGTGTTGTCTGAGGTCCTGCCAGAGCGAACATTCCAGGAGAATGTGCGTGATTGTGTGGGGAGCTCTCTGGCAGGATGGGCAGGTGTCTGTGTCTGCTTGGCCTATTCTGTTTGCGTATGTTTGTAGTGAGGGGTGGTGGCCGCAGCAAAGCCTGGCTAGGTGTACTCTCTAATGTGATGAGGCCCCCGCCAGCTCCATGGGCTCTGTCTTGTCGCATTGTGGAGTAGGACGGGATGTTGGGTGTTTTATGTCTGTGTTGTAGTTTTGTTTCTTGTATTAGTGCTACGTGTATGTTATGCTTGTGCATTAGGTGTTTGAGCTCTTGGTGTTTGGTGCATATGCCATCTATGTTAAGTTTCAGGATATTGAGAGCCCTGGTGTTTCTGGTGTTCCTGTGTTGTGGACGGTGTTGGGGAGGAGGTGGTGGTGGTGTGGTGGTGATGGTGATAGTGGTGGTGGTGGTGGCTGTGGGGGTGGTGTGGGCTGCTGTGGTGGTGATAGGGGTGGTGGTGGTATTGAGTGTGGGGTTGACTGGGATAGGGGATGTGCTTGTGGTGTATAGGTTTGTGATGAGGTAGTGTTTGTGGTGTTGTTTGTGGATAGGCAAGTGGTGCATTTAAAGTCGCTTGTGTAGCGGGTAAGTGAAGGGAGTGTAGTGCACCGAAGATGGACCCACTCGCTGCAGGAGTTGCAACGAACGGAGCCAACGGTACGCTTGATGTGTCTAGTGCAGGTGGGGCAGATGTAGATGGGTCCAGGATTGGACTTGATGTCCCCGGCGAGTAAGTGTAAGAGGGATTCGATGGCCGGGACATAGAACCCCTCTGTCGAAAAAACGAGGGACGAATCCCCCGCCGGCGCCCAGGACGCAAGGTACCCCGGGCCAGGGCCTGGGGTGGGGTTGAGGTTGGGGAGTTTGGCCGTCGAAGGTTGCACGCTTCCTCCGACGGGTGCCGCCACTGCGCAGACACCCCGGTGAGAAGGGGCGCTCCACTTGAAGAAGCTCCCACATCCAACGGCACAACGTTCAGTCGTTCAGTGGTGCATAACCTTACTTTCTGGGCTATTTGCTTCAGAAAATGGTGGCATAAAGCTCCTAATATTTAAAGCAAGATGATGTCACAGGCTGGTTACCGACGATTGGCTTAATCCGCGGCTGATTGGTGGTCATTCAGCATAGTGGCAAAGCCAAAGCAGAGAGTTTTTTAGACTCTCCCTCAAGTTCATTTTTGAGTCCTATAAGTAGACCAGTAAAGTATCCTGGATACCAGCAGTATCATACTTGAGAAATTGGTTTAAATCTTGAGTAGGGTAAACGCGGTATATTCCGACACATTAAGGACGCATCGAGAAATGAAAAACTATAAAAAAATAACCGTATGCGTTACTCGAGTTCTGTTTGCTTTATTTGACTCGCAAAACACCGTACTACGCGCCAGCATCAACGAAACGTCACAAAATGTTGCCATATATATTAAAAAGCCTTTAGAATGGAAACCTACCAAATTCCTATATTCCGTCACTGTGTGTGGCAATATTCGGCACGTGGTGAGTCGTATTGCGTCAGCGCTTCAAATTTAACTGATACGTAATGCCAACATCCACGTGTTCGAATTCCGTTCGCTGTGTGAGCTGTATTGGGAAGTGGCATGCATTGTCTCTCTTTGGATCTCAATATTTTCCCACTAGATGGCTAAGACCTAGTGTTTTGGCAGTATTTTGATGCGCAAATGTATGACGTCACCATTTCAACCATCAACAAATGCATGGAACTAAAACAAAGCTTAATATAAAGGAAAAGCTGGAGAGGTGACCGAATTACCCATGATGTCAGAATATACCGCGTTTACCCTAAATGAAGAAACTAAAAATGAACTGATTCTAAAAAAGCTCTGGTTTGCCACTTTGTGACATTCGGAAATATGCTAGGCGTTCCTTTCAAGGCTGATTGGTGCACAAATTTGGTGATGCACGGCTGCGTAACCGCACCTTGCGCACCAATGCACCATTTACCTCAATACTCAAATTCAAATAGGATAGTAAAAAAAATTTGAACTACCTAAAGGCTAAAGTCCTAAACTAGCCAACTTGAAGTCTTGAAGTACTTGAACTAGGTAACTAAAAATCACTTGTAGTTGTTATAGCCTAAGTTGTTTGCCACTTTTATCATGACCATAGTGGCAAAGCAGAGAGTTTTTTAGACTTTCCCTCAAGTTCATTTTTGAGTCTTATAAGTAGACCAGTAAAGTATCCTGGATACCAGCATCATCATACATAAGAAATTGGTTTAAATCTTGGGTAAATGAGGAAATTAAAAATGAACTGATTCTATAAAATCTCTGGTTTGTCATTATGATCATGACTATGCGATGGTCAGTAGCTAGGTTACGTACCTACTCAGTAATCAGTATGGTCATTGCCTATTGCCATTGGTGATTGGTCAATGGTGAGTACTGAGTACTGACTAGAGTAGTGACTGAGACTCACTGAGTAGCTATACCCGGCCCCCGGGTAGTGGGTACGGACGTACGGCGTACCTATAACGGGTATTGTTTACTTAATTTAATAATTTATTCACTTCTTAATTACCACAGTCTAGGGCCTAGGCCTGCAGGTAAATACATTCATTAGACTGGAGATATATCATTTTAGCTGGACGAGTGTCATTTGCTTGATTCAAAACATCAGCTGAAAGTCTTACCGAGATGAGGCGGCAGGCTGTAGCTTTTCCAAATAGTGCCCTACCTACACGAGCAGTCGAGCACGAGAGAATCTCTGAACTTCATTGACCGATTTACGTGAGAACAAATTTACGCGATATTGGCTCCGTCACCAAGGGTCTAGGTAGAATTGGAACGACAAGGAGAAGCTAGGCAGAAAAACACATATTTTAGGCAAAAACTGAAAACTACGACAAAAGATGAAATTTTTGCATAAAAAGTATTTTTATCAATATTATTGTTATTTATTTTCCAAAATATTACCATACAAATACAGTGAAATTGGTTGCGCTAGTGAGACTGATAATCTAGACCAGTGGTTTTTAAAGGTGCCTGTATACAGGGATAGTATCAGCCGCTAGTTCATCCGCCGCTTGATCTGTCTAGGTACGCTACTAGCCTCGTGTACAGGGGTTCAGCCGCTTCAGAGGGGGTTCAGCCGCCGGCAAGTGCCCGAGACTCTGCCGAGAGGGACAACGATGTGTTGATTTCTGTGCTTGAGAAGTGGCTAGTGGCCGTGCGTTGACAACGCATTGTTCAGTTGAATATCTTGCTGTGTTATTAGCTAGTAGCGCTGATTTAGCCATGGTGAGAGCATTTGTGCCGCACTGCCGCTCTTGTGAAGCATCTTCGAATCAAGTGAATAATGGCTTGTTTGAACGATAATGTTTCTTAGAAGAACCCAACAAAGTGGATTCCAGACGATATTCAACTATTTTGTTTTTTAATATTCCAAAAATATGAATTAAAGTGGAGTGTTTGCCATGATGGTTACTCCAACAAAATGAAGAGAGAAATAATTATTTTGAAACAGAAAGAAAACCTTACTAGTCAGGATTTAGTTCTTCCCGACGTTGCATTTTTAATGGCTAGAATAAAGAATATAAAAAGACATACGTCATACAGACTCGAGTTGTTGAAGGTGATCCCACTATCCATCTTCGTAGACCTCACTCGACGGCTTTTACGACGCACTGGAAGGTGCGAACGAGAAGATAGCGGCAGTGCGGCGCCTTATACTCTCCACGTCCACGTGTACAGGCTTACTTGCCGGATAGTCACCAAGCAACCGACACTTGCCAGATTTACTAGCCGTCTGCACTATCCCCGTATACAAGCACCTTAACCTGGGTTCGATCAAACTCTAGGGGTTGGGTGAGTCGTTTACTCATTTTCTGGGGTTTGACGGTTTGTTTCTGTACTTAGGGAAATGAAGTATGCACTTAGATGAGCTCGCAATGTCTCTCGACGGAAACTTCCCCACCAGAATCTCATACCCAGCATGGGCGAGACAGTCATTCAAGTTTAGTGTTGCGACCGCAAATGTGAATGATGAATACCTGGACGAAATCATCGGACTGCAGGAGAGCCAGGTTCAACAGCAACTCTTCAGAAAAACAACGCTCTCAACGTTTTGGTGTCTCCAAATCGCAGCGTACCCCCTTATTGCTAAAAAAGCCCCTAGATATTCTCATACCGTTTGTTATAACAGATCGTTGCGAGCAGTCCATTTCGATGATGGTAAGCATCAAAAGAAGGAAAGGAACACACTTTCTTGCGAAAATGATATTAGAGTGGCACTTGCGAAGGTGAAGCCGCACATTCCTGAAATTGCCGCACTGAGGCAACAAAAGTCACATTGATTTGCAATGAATATTCATTTTGTTTTTGGTTTATGTGCGAAATATATGTTGTGTAGTTTTTTTTCATTCAACAAAGCGATTTTGTGTGCAAATGGTGCATGGTACAGTTTATGCAGTTATAGCTTAGACATATTTTTTGAATTGAAAAAAAAAACATTTCATTTTTCCATTTACGAAGGGTTCGATGAATGCATGAATGGATCTTGCAGGGTTCGGTACCACCAAATAAGGTAAGAACCACTGATCCAGACAATCATAGACATAGAGCCAAAAACTTCTCCGATTACTGGATCTTTCAGAAGAGATCAAACATGTAAAAAATATTTCATCAAGAATAATAACAATTAGTTATCAAAAAATTTTCATTGTCCTTCTTAGTGTTAAAAATAAATATTCCTCTGCATACTCGTGTCGTGGTTTTTAATTTGCAACGACCCTCATTTCGTATTCTATGGCTTCTTTCCTCACATCTGCTTGACTAGATTAGACCGCTTGACCTCACCGTTCATAGGAACGGACATAGAATAGCGAGCGAACTGGGAAAAATAGAATAAAGTGATGTAATTCTAATTCTATATTATTCTAAATTATTACATTTTTACAGGGAGTCTCCAGAAAAATCAGCAAAGCAAGACGCGCTAAAGGGTGTGTTCACGATTTCGACAATGGCGCTCACAGTCGAGAAAGTTCCTCCTATAGCGCCTATGATCACAATTTCGATAAGTGCCACCCTCATCCAGAACGGTACCGGCCTGAAAGAAAAACACCAAGAAAATGAACTCTATATGTGAAGATAAATATTAGCGAGCATGTTTCAAGCATATGAAGAAAAACTTCTGAGCATTTTTGCTGAAATTCTCAAAACATACTATATCATCGCAGCAACTCACATTGTTTAACATGACTTACTAAAGCTTTCTGGGTTTTGGTTGTATCAGAAAAATATAAAAATACTTGCCTCCCATCATATTTAGGACCAGGGCGCGTCAATACTAGGTACATTAATGGGGGCAGGATGAAGGAACAAATTGTCATGGCCGACCCGCCGATCAAGTTGAGGATGAGACTGAAGTCGGGGATCGCGAGTCCGATGATAGCTTGTAGCCACACGATAGACGTTCTGGTTACAATGCGCTTCACACCAAAGTCTGCGCACAGTTCATCATTTGGCAGCTTTAGCAACACTGATATCATCTCAATATATGTTACTTGTAATAATGAACTTCACGCCAAAGTCTGCACACAGTTCATAATACGACATCTTTAGAAACACCGATATCACTTCAAAGTACTCTTCACTCATGAAAAAATATAACGATTGGTGAGAATGGTATTGATTAGAACTGTTTAACCTTACCATATAAATGTCATCATATTCTCTTAAAAAATAAATATTCCTCTGCATACTCGAGTCGTGGTTTTCAATTTGCAACAAACCTCATTTCGTATTCTATGGCTTTATCCCTCACATCTGCTTGATTTATTTTTCACAAATGCATTAAGAAGAGTTTCGTCTCCGGATGCCATTTAATTTCGAAAAACGCTCAATGAATTTCAAAATGAAAGTTAATGCGTTAAGATTACTAAATGGAATAAGTACCGATATTTCGCATATTTGACCATGTAATTAGGATTATATTATGAATGGGCAAGGAAAGAAGAATATTTAGTGTCAGGAATGTATGAAACTTGTGTGAGGAGAATAGTAAATTTCTGTCTAAACAGTCGTGGAGTCAAAATTGTACATGTATAGTAGTGTCGACCCTGAAGAAATGGTCCTACGGCCTGTTGCTGACACTTCTACTTTTCTTGACTTTTTATATGATATCTTAAAAACCGTCCTTTTGACCAGATCTTTCAAAAACTGACGATGGTTTGAAATATGTACTAGACTTTTATCAAGTTCGCGAGGTACATGACAATTCAAGACTGACGGCTTGAAGGGCAAGTCCTATGAAGAAAGATTAAAGATTATGAAGCTTCCAAGCCTCAGTTATCGACGTCTGCGTGGGGAGCTCATTGAAGTATACAAATATGCTCATGGTTTATACAAGTTCCCCGAAGGATTACTAGAATTTGAAACAAGAACCAACACCAGGGGCCACAGCTATAAACTAAAAAAACTGCACTGCAACTTCTCCACGCGACAAAATTTCTTCTCGCTTCGAAACACCGACATTCGGAACAGCCTCCCCGATGACATCGTTGGCGCTCCAAGTATGAACGCGTTCAAGAACAGACTAGATAAAGCTATAGAAAAATATATATTCAGATTTGAAATGCCTAGCACCATATCGAACCCGGCGGAAGTCGAGTAGCTACTTCAAACTTTCGTCAGTCGTGAAAAAATCCGGTCAAATGACACGATTTTAGATCTTCTGTGAACAAGGCACGAAAAGGAAAAGAATCGGCGACAGGCCACATCAGGCCTTCACTGCAGCGCCGGGATCACTATGTTATGTTATGTTATATGCAGCGTGTGACCATGTCTGGTCTGTTCTTGAACGCGTTAATAATTAATTGGAGCGTCCACGATATAGTTGGCAAGATCTCAAGTCCGAGAGATCTAGTTGGTACATAATGACATATATGTGAGTGAAATTATAGAATGGTATTCTTACTCTGAGGTATGTTTAGAATATCTTCAAACGCTTGGGTAACTGTGTTGAATCCAATAACGTAAGATCCAAGAAGATTGATGATTTGCAGCGCCATAGCAGCTTCCACAGCAGGACCCTGCGTCACTTCGAACAGGATGTTGCTGTTGACATACGTGCCGAAAACTGCGTAGCCGGCCACACTTACAGGCACATACAACAAGAGAATACCTGCCAGTAAAAAAATAATTAACCCATGCCAAGAATTAGTTTATTTTAACAATTGTTTTGGAAGGAGTGTGACAGCAGCGACTCATAACAAGTTCATATTATATGTTGTCATAAATCTTTTTGGAGACCAGCTCCATCATCAGTTATAAATGCAAAGAGTACAAGAACAATCGAAAATTTTCTCCGAATTTTCGAACTGATGAGGCAGCTGGTCTCCAGAAGGTCTCAGTGAAGATATGGTGAATTTCCTTTGCATTATCTTTACTTTTACCGCTAAATTCTTGGTGGACTTTAGGCCTGAAAGAGACTTATGATAAAAGCATTTCGGTAGTGGCGCTACTCACTAGAAAAACCAAGCAGAACACTTTTCCAGAACTGCGTTCTGTCTGACATGTCGTTTTGGATGGTAGGGAATACGGACGATCCACCAAATGCGAAAAGAATGGCTCCGTAGCCCAAGGCGAAGGTCTTGATGGTCGGGTTGACGAACTGCACGTAGTGTTGATCTGGTGCGTCCAAAAGCGTCTGCACGAAGATAGCTAAGCAAGCAGCTATAGTCGAAACCACTGCCAGCATCGGCCCAAGCCTGAAACGGTTGTATTTGATAATAATAATGCAAATTATCATCGCTCTTATTTGATTTGCAAATGATTTAAATGTCTTAATACAGCGTGGAACGGTTAAAATTAATTTGTTAGCGAATTGTTGTTCACTGAGAACTCACCAAAAATCTTTAGGTGTGCCGAGCCAGGTGCATGGAGTGATGATTGTTGCCACGATGATTATGTAAACGCAGGTGCTCAAGCCTGGCAGCAAAGTGTTCAGGAGCTCTGCAGCTAGTATGATGAACACGGTCGTACCTCCGAACTGTGACGCCACCACACAGAACAGCGCGAACGCTCTGGGTGTCCATTGCAATAAGTTTAGATTTGATGAGCAATTAGAATAAAATTTAGCAAAAATGATCTATTTTACCTCATAAATTTTCATTATATTTATTGAAAGTGGCAGCTTCATACACTCAAATTCAAGGCACTCGTTTCAAAAATCGCATTTAGGCTAAACTCTCAACTTTGTCGAACAAACTTATCTGTGAAAATGTAAAGCCACATGCAAGCATTAAAAGCTTCGAATCTAATTAAAAACTCAATTTAGGGACGAATCCCATATTATATTTTAGGGAAGAATCTTATATTTTTGTCGAATCTCAATTTAGGGAATCTCCTGTGTACTCACCGTCCGTGCTTGCCGAACGCTTTTTCAGCGATTTCCATGTAAGGCTGTCTGGCTGGCTGGGAGTACTGGTCCGGCCAGCGTTCCTCTAGGATGTTCCAGCAGAAGCCCAGCCTCGTGGCCGACAAGCCCACCATTACGCAGAACAATATCATCATCGGTAAGCCCAGCCATCCTGCACGGCATCAAACTGAACGTGTGCATGTTCTTTTAGAACGAGTGTTTTGATGTGGCTGACAAGCCCGCAAACATGCAGAACAACATCATCATCGGTAAGCCCAGCCACCCTGCACGGTATCAAACTAAACGTGTTCTTGTTCTCTTCGGACAAGTGCTTTGATGTGGCTGAGCCCGCGAACATGCAGAACAATATCATCATCGGTAAGCCCAGCTACCCTGCACGGTACCAAACTAAACGTGTTCTTGTTCTCTTATAATAAGTGTTTTGTTGTGGCTGACAAGCCCACGAACATGCAGAATAACATCATCATCGGTAAGCCCAGCCATCCTGCACGGCATCAAACTAAACGTGTTCTTGTTTTCGTTTGGACTTTTTTCTGTGTATGGTTAAAATCAATTGCAATTTTTGTAAGTCGACACTTGACAACGTACGTCAATCCTACACAGTATCTTAATAACGCATCTCTTTAAAATGATCGCTTTTGTCAAAGCGTTCACGAGTAACCTCAAAGTTTTTCAATAGTTCTTGTAGTATTAGCGATGGAGTAGGCATAATTGAATTAAGAAGATATATTTTATGTTCTTGTATAATTCCGGTTTGTACGAGTGGTTATAAGATCACCGAAATTGGAGCACCGTTTCGGGAGTTCGAACCCCGTAACTCATAGTGAAAATTCTAGTTAAAAATCGGCAAGGCGGTTCTGTGGTTAAGAAACGGCGACAAGCCAACAAGCCCTAATCAAAGCTGAAACTACTATATTATATACATATACATATCAATCATTCTTATATAAAATATAATTTATTTTACATATAATATATTATTTACATGAGCTGACCTGTGTTGCCGAGAGCTTTTGGCAACGATACAAATCCAGCGCCTGCCAGCTGCGCGACGATAAACAGTCCCGCAACGACCACCGACAGGCCTTTTGTTTCCCTGCAGGGCAAGAAAATAATTAAATTGCAGCGACAGGCACTAGAATAAATGGCATAGAAATTTTTTGTTTATATCATGTTACATTTATTAGTGCATGAAAGTTATAAATTTAAAATTTGTAATTAATTATACGTTTATGTTCACCACTTCTCTGAACATTGGATGAGAAACTTTATAACTTTTTCCTAATTAACCCGGCATCATAATTCATACCATTAGCCCTGATGCTAATCCAATCAATCCAACTAATTCGATCAGTTAGAGTTAGCTCATGCAGGATCTTCTTCAAATTACATAACAAACTTCCCTGTTGACATTATCCAAATTATTATTATTTTGGCGTAAAGATTTAATCTCTTGTTTTCGAGCTTCTCAGTACGAAAAAACAATATTGGTATCGTTCATAACAAAACATATCAGCAAAGCTCAAGCGCTCCGGCACCTAAGGTCACAAGTTCTAATCATTACAGCAGACGACACACATGATAAGCCTCTTGATAAGAAACTCTTATAATAACCACTCTTATAACTCACACTTGTGATGCCCGTCAATCAGCTCTAATTGCTTTTATTTTTTCTTTGTAGGTGTCAAACTAAAATCATTTCGCATAATCGCTTTATCAAGACACCTTTGCATCAGTAGATAATTTTAATAATTATTTTTCAAAGAACGTAACGTGGACGTGGAACGTAACGTACGGTGACCTTAGAATGCGGAGGCTGTGAATATGAATAAAGCCCCTAGGCGCTGATTGCAGATTTTTACTTGCCAGAATACGTAGGTTTTTAAAAAAAAGTGTTACTTGCCAGAATACGTAGGTTTTTAAAAAAAAAAGTGAACCAAAGGGCGCTGATTGCACATCACACAGTGAACACATACAGTTAACACATTCAGTGAACACATGGGCGCTGAATGCATATCATTTTTCCTAGCACGTGGCGCAACCAGAGTACAATTAATTCCGTTTCGTATTTCAGGTCCCTGTTTTTTGTCGGAATCTTTTTGTCCACATTATTGCATTTTCAAAGGTTTTAGGTTTCCAATCGATCAAGTTTCAGCATCGCAATATATTTATATAAAAACGAAATAATATAACACTATAACCACAACTTTTGCATACAATGTTACTAGTGATCGTAGAAAGACATTGAGACATAAATCAACATTAAGTTAGACAGAGTTTTCATTAACCCTAAGACAATATGAAGTAATTAACTTTATTTATAATTCAAAGGACTCTAAGTTCAACGTAATCTCATAAAATTTATGTTCAAACGTCATAATTCCTCTCACTAATCACTCTCAAGTCAAGGGCATCATTTTGGTAAAACATTTAAAGATTAAATGCACTCACTTGATTGGAATTTTTTCCATGATGAACTTCCGATATCGGGTTGAAATGTGATGAAGGAACTAATACTAAAATAAGATAATAGAAAACAAACTCAAATAATGGCAAATAAATTACTCAAGTTTTGTATACCAATGAGAACGTGATGAGAATTGTTCTGATTCAATTTAAATTTAAGAATCGTGGGAAAATGTTGCGTCACTACTTGGACTATGTTGACGTTTGTTAAAAATCCATTGAGAAACTTTACCTAAAATGAAAAATTGAAATGAACTTCACAAAATAACATGTAAATAAATAAATGACGCATTGTTTATAATATCCTTCATGACCGTCATCCTAAACAGATCTCATATAATTGAACTTCAATGAAGAAATCTCCTCTGCTTCGAATTTGGAAATTATCAACATCTTGTGTAACATGCTCGTCAGGCATGAACTTCTACGAACTCTTACACAATCTAAAAGATGAAATGAAAAGAATAGTATTCATAGCGAATTTCAAAGGCATTCAGAAAGATTTCATTCAAGTATTCAAGCGCTAATTCTTTATGCAGAGTTAACTATAAAAATCTTCTATGTTAATCAGAAATGACTAGGCTATTGAGAAAAAGTTTGTATTGCATTGACATATATAAAGCGACATAGATAAAGTGATAAATAAGCTTACATTTTTCACCAATTACCTATACCAGAAGCTCTACACAAATAAAAATAAGGCATTCCAGCTAAAAATTTTCCCGCAAAAAAGCTTATAGCACTGTTTTTTCATAAAAAAACTAAACAAAAAGAATCGGGGAATTCAGACCTGGCAAAATTTCCGGGAACGGCGAAATTAATTATTCAATGTGCAAGCTATCGTTAAACTGAAGTCGACTTCTAGAATCTAGCGATATTTCAACGTCGTCCATATATAAAATCGTCTGTACATGTTTTAAGATATTCAGTAAATCATATTGTGGTCCTAACAAATTTTTTTCTAAACCTAACTATCGCTGTACTATCAAAAATTGTATCTCTCCTTGCTAATTTATTATCGTACATATTTATTTTGTCGCAGCGGCTGGGTGCCTACACGCGATGGAGCACCTCGCACACTGCAGCCTGCACCAGACGGTGTGACGCTGACCGAAGTTTAATCTCGAAGGCGAGAAGAAATCTTGTCTGGTCATCTAGAGTTGATGTCCGATAACCTGGACAACTGATGTGATAAGGATAAGCAATGCACTTGATTAATTGATGCACAGTATACTAGTTTTATTCACGAGAATGAAAGTGCTGTAGTAAATCCTGCAACACATCATGGTACTCGATCACCACACCTGTGGTAATTGTTCATGAGTTCGAATATGTTTCAGAAATGAAACGGATAATGAATAATTAATCATTCATTTCTACGAGCGGTTGCAAAAAGTACTAAATAGAAACCTATGTTATAAAATTCAGAGAAAAAAATATGAGGAAGTAAACAAGACAGCATGGGAAATACACGTGATTTTGCGACAGCGCCCGCGCGTCTCGGGACTCCACTCGTCCTCTTGCGTGGCATTGCACGGCGACCGTAAAATACTGTATAAATCACATATATATGTGCACTTGTTCCAATGCTTTGATGCAATGTATTCGTGCAATGACTTAAAAACTGACAACCAAACTAATTGACTTCTGAAAGTTTATTGTGCTCTGATAGCTCGCATGAAATAATGTTCAGAGAATTGAAAATCTTACTTATGATATATTTTCCGAATGTTAACGTGCCTATTTTGTTGTTGAATAGTTTCAAAATTGTTTCCTTATTCAGATACAAAAATGTTTTTGCATGCATGCGGTCTTCCCAGTTTACGTAGACAATGATGTATGAACACATCGGCAGGAGCTTTCGTTTGAATTTGCCACTATCTAAGCGCCTGCGAAGTGCGACTGGACCTTGATTAGAGCGATTTCAAGATATCCGGTTCCGGTATATGAGATTGTTAGGACAAATGAGTATAAGTACTTAGGGACGTGCGTGGACCATGAAGGATGTCAGAGAACAAAGGCCGCGAATTTAAGTAAGGCGAACCAATGGTTGGGTATACCTGGAAGTGCAGCAAAAGTGAGAGCGAGTAAGTATGAAGTATTGAGAGAAGTGTGGAAGAGTGTAGCAGCGCCTAGCATTATGTATGGACTGGATGTGATAGCATATAGTGATGGCGAGCTAGATAAATTGGAATTGGTACAAAATAGAGTGGCGAGATTGGCACTAGGAACCCCCAGGTGGACTGCAGTAGAGGCCCTGAGAGGAGACATGGGTTGGAAGGGCTCGAAAGATGTATATGTGGAACATGAAGGTGAGCAAATGGGCACGCAGATGTCGGGCAGTGGTGCGTAAGTGTGGCATGCATGAAGCATGGGTGCGCCAAAGGCCCGCTGGGCCAAAGGACGAATGGGTGGTGACAGTACGGGGTGAGATTGGGATAGAGTGGGATGAAAAAGAGTGGAAAAGAGAAATAAATGAGCGAGTGAAAGACTATGGGCTGAAGGTATGGAAGCAAGGAATGGAGGGAAAGGACTCTCTAAGACTGTATCAGATGAAAGCGATGCCAAAATATGAATGTATGTATGATGGTAGTAGAGGTGCGGACCTTCTGTTTTGTGTTAGGGCAGGCGCGCTAGGTGTGAATGGACGTACATACAGGTGGAATGAAAGGAGAGAAGATAAATGTTTTATGTGTGATGGGGGATGAGAAGGAAACTGTAGAGCACTTGTTGATGGAATGTGGGGCGTATGAGAGAAAGCGTCAGTCTATGATTGAGGTGATTCTGAATGAGAGAGGTGAGACTAACGAGGTGGGGCATGAGAGAACAAGCGAAGAGTGGATGGCGATAAATACGGGTCTGTCTGAGGGAGCAACTGCGGCTATGTTTGAGAGTGTGAAGAGATATTTGGAAAACGAGTGGAGGATGAGGGAGAGGAGGAGGATGATAAGAGTGGAGTCTTGAGGAATGGAGGGTTGAGAGAGGGGAGGGTGGGAAGACGTGTGAACGTACCGAATTGTTTTAGTACGTGGTTTTAATTTTTTGCGATTGTCAAATTTTTATATTTTTTCTTAGGACAGCTGTGAATATGGTATATTTGAACTTTTTTGTTAACATAAGAGTGTGAACTTTTAATTTTTTTGATGCTAGTAAAAGTTTTTTAGGCAGCGTGTATGACCGATTTAAAGGTCGTGACCGTAGGTCACTACGCACCCCAATTCCAATCACAGTCGGCTCGGAGTTAACTTATTTTGGAATCGCTGCATACTTCTTTACGAGAACTTGGTCTTTATAACAAATACAGCTCAATTACCTCTTGAAATTGTAAACCGATTGGTTTTCATGTTCAGTTGTAGTGTTCTGGTCACTGGCGTTCAATATATTTTGTGTATATTTGTATTTTCACTAATGGTTGTATTCGTATTTTATAGAATTTTTTGAATTGATGTTGGAGACTGCCTTTGAAACGTTTGCAATGAAGGTATGGTGACTCAGTTTTTTTTCTCTGCTTTAATATTCATGACAAATTGACGCATAATAAAATTGTTAGCTAGCATTGTTTGCGATCAGATACGATAAATATAGCATTTAATTGCACCGAATAGCGATTTCTTCTTGCTTGATAGTATGGTTGATTATTAATAGTATGGAAAATCCCCAGAGAGTGTAAACAAAGTCCCGCCTGATAAGGACTAAGGTCCGGTACAGTCTAGCTTCTTAGCTTGTTGACCCCACCGCGGTAAACATGTACCCAGCCAGCGTCTGGGTCCTTATCGCTAGTCTGCGCAAAGTTCAATGATTACAGTATTTTACTGCTGAATATTTCACACATCGGCTGAAATACGGAATACATTTTCTTCTGTTATAAAATTACATATATATAGAAATACGTACCAAAAGTTCAATAACGATAGTATTTTACTGCTTAATTAATATTTCACATATCGGTTGAAGTATTGAAGAACTCTTCGGCCTGAAGAGTTGGTACTTATTTTATAGGTTGATAGACTGGGACATGAACTCAATCTGACAGAATAAGGAACAGATTGTAAAATAAAAACTCTTTCTTTCCTAAAAATTTGAATTTAATTTTACAAATTCTCAGGCCAGTATTTCATCATACAATAGTCATAATCTTACGCAGGTCATAATCTTACGATGGTTTCTCATAATTCATTGAATTGTTTTTTCGAGGAAATAATCGTCGCATTTATAATTTAATCTGCGAAACGTTACGATGAAGAATAAATTTTAGTGCACTTTTCTACTGTCGCGTACATAAAAATCATAGATCATAGGTCAATGTTCTGAAAGTGTTATGAGTTTCTACAGAATTAGAATATCTGTTAAGCCCCGTCCACACGCTCAAACTTATCGCCAGTCTTGCATGTCATGCCAAACTTTGACCGACAAGACCAAAGACTGACGAGCGTCCACACGATTAAAATTTTCCTTCAGTCTAGTGCGCTCTTGGCAATGGAGGAGCTAGTGCTGCTCGCTGCAGTGATCGCAGTTTGTGCCGCCAAAATTAGGTTAAGGGGACCGACCGGGTCATGAAACTTCACCTACATACGTAAAATGTAAAATAAAAAACATTTTGCTCCTATGAATTTTTCGAAAAAATTTATAGAAAACGTGAAATTCATAGAAAACGGCTAAAAAGGGGTACTTCAGAAAATCTATCTCCTCCCACAAATATCATCCTACAACATCGAGACACGTATCATTCGATTCGTAAAGACCATATCTATCGACTAGTTGGAAAGCTCAGAATGTCAGCTTTAAGATGAGACTAAGCATGTAACTGCAGCACAACTCAAGTAGAAACTATATTCAACGATTTCAGCAGCTAATTAATTTATATCTAATTTCTTAAAGAACTCTCCCACCCGCTTCCCTTTAAAGAGACGTCATTAACGTAAATATTGGCGTACAGCGATGGCAGTGGTACCATTGGAAAGAGCAGAATTGCAGCTTTCAGATGAGCACAAAAACCGAAAAACGCCAAAATTGAAAATTTTAGCCCGGTCGGTCCCCTTAAAGCGATGCAAACGTAAGCGGTGGTCCCGAAAATGGTTTTAAAAAATACCACAATGAGGGGTTGATAGACAGCATCCCTATCAGCACCAGACAGCATTGACGGCTTCATTTTGGCACATTATTTTCGATAAAGAGTCTATTTTCTTCGTTACAAAGTCGTTGTTTGCTGTAGGATCAACTTCTTTGCACTTAGAATAGAATAGAAATGTCGGCATTGAAGAAATAGGCCCATGGCCTGTTGCCGATTGTTGAATTTTTCGTGACTTGATTCACAAGTGTTCCGGCTTTTGGAACCCGATCTTTCCATAACTTACGATTGATTGAGATAGCTGCTGGACTTATTGCCTGTCCGTAAGTTGCTAGGCATTTTTAAGACTGAACATATGCTCCTACATAGCTTCGTCTTGTCTGTTTTTGAAGGCGTTCATACTCGGAGCGTCAACGATGCTATCAGGGAGGCTGTTCCACATGTCGGTGACTCGAAGCGAGAAGAAATGTTGTCGCATGAATGTGTTACAACGCATTTTTTTAGTTTATAGCCGTGGCCCATGGTCTTGGTTCTTGTTTCAAATTCTAGTAATCCTTCTGGGACCTTGTATAAGCCGTATGATTCAATGAGGTCCCCACACGGAAGCCGATAACTGCCAGGGTGGCCCAGTGGTTAAAGTTCAGAGTACCAAGATTGGAGCTGAGAGGCGCGGGTTCGATCCCAGCTCTGTGCGTCAGTTTCTGGTCAGAATAGGCAAGGAGGCCGGGCGGTTAAGCACAGTAGAATTGTAGCAGCGACTTGTGAGTTCGAGACCGCAAAATGCTGTGAATGTTCTGCGATGTTAAGAATCGGCGACAGGCCTACGGCCTACTAAACGCTGAAACCGCTATTATTATTATTATATTAACTTGACCTTCAATATGCTTAGAAAATTTCAACTCAGTGTCGATATTAATTCCTTAATCTTTTTCCATTGTCGACTTCGACATCATCACTCTTGCCAAAGTGGATAACTTTACATTTATCAGCGTTAAAACGCAGCTGCCATTTATCAGCCCACTTAACCAGCCTGTCAAGGTCACCTTGCAACTGTACTTTTTGCGACGTATTCTTCACTGTATTATATAAATTTTTGTGTCGTCAGCATACATCGAGCAAACGCTAGACACAGCTTCTGGCAGATCGTTTATAAACGCAACGAATAAAACAGGCCCGAGAACGCTTCCTTGTGGCACGCCGCAGCGCTCAGCCAGCGCACTAAAGCCCAGTCTGATACGGATCCATTAATGCTGACACGTTGTCGTCTCCCTACTAGAAAATCTCTGATCCATTTGAGTACATTACTCTCAATTCCCAAAGACTTCAATTTATGCAACAACCGCTCATGTGGGACACTGTCAAATGCCTTGGCAAAATCAAGGTGCACTGCATCTACTGGCTCCCTTTCGTCCAGCCGGCGGGTCCATTGGTTCAGAGCAATCAATGCCGCATAGGCCAGTGCTCTCTTGTTCTTGTCACTGTAGCTTTTTGATTGAATTTACCACAGACAAGGGAAACTTCGATATAATTCGATAAACTCACCTAAAGAAATCGTGAAGCCAGTGTCGGATATCTTGAGATATGAAAAACTAGAGCTAGCGAGGAACTTTGTCCCAGCTCTTAATTTAACATCAATATAGACTGAGATAGAGTAAAAGTTTGATTAATTAGTTGGTTGCCCGTCCACACACTAAAACTTATCGTTAATCTTGCATGAACCTAAAGGTCTCGCCCGTCCGTCTTTTCCAGATTTGTCAAACCTCTAGCTCCGCCCACCCGTCATGCAAGACTTCAAACTTTGAGCGTCCACACTTGTCGGTCAAACCTGGCATGACATACAAGACTGAATATAAGTTTGAGCGTGTGGACGGGGCTTTAGTGGGAGCGCAGCCGTGGGTAACAAAATTGACTCGCAAACAGGCCCTGGGCCCAACGCCAACCATCAGCATGCAATATCGACACATAGCCTCAGATCAATGAGCTGTGTGTAAGTGACTCATATCACCACACCAACTTTAAAAAACACAGTCACTGCTTCACAGCCCCGGAGCGCAACAGGCCCTACCTACAACGCCTTACGTTAGGTTAGGAGTAGGGCCGGGGTAGGAGTAGTGCCTGTGATTGAACGCTGCTGTTGTGGTGAGCGCTCTGTGTCGAAAGCCGTGAAGGTGCCCGGCTGCGTTAGGCCCGGGAAGGTATACGAATCGCACTGTGGACTTGGGCTATGCTGACCTCTAGCTATCCACCCGCTTTAGTCATTGTCTGCAATAATGTTCTGAGTCGGGGCAGCGTGATTAGGTTAGGCCAAAGCAGGTTCACCAGAAGCGCTCTCAAATAGTACCTCACGCAGTACCTTTAAATATTTTGCTGATAATATGATGATCTACTTAAATGTCTTCCGACAAAGAAATTTGAAGTGGAAACGCCAGCGTAAGTATAGGGAATAGGGAAGTCCATTAGCCTAGGACTTTGAAGTTGACACTAACAGGCGCGTGCGTTGGCAGCTGATGATGCAAGGCACTCGCACTTCTGGGACACTATCACGTTCTTGACACACTTTTATTTATCACAACCAGCTCTGCACGCTATTGATGTTGTTGTTACTATCACAGGCAATAGAGTTACGTTCTTTCATAAGGTAATACCAGGTACTTGACCTCAAGACAGCAGCAAGAGGATCGAGCAGGAAATAATATACAATAATTCATAGATATTTATTGAAGTTCACTTCTAAGATAAATCACACAGTGATTGCGTACGTGATGATTTGCATGCCGAAGAAATAATTTCACGGCAAGTCAGGAAATGAACCAAGTAAATACGAAGATTGCGGTGGATTATGTTTTAAATTAGTATTCGTTCATCTGTAAAAGTTAATGGTTTTGATTAACTGTCTTGGGATTAGTAGTATTATAGTAAAAAGCACAGAACGAAGTAAGGGCAGGCATAGGTAGCCAGAACTTAAGAGACAATGACGACATCGAAAATGCATCAACGATTCAAAGCAAGCAATAACTATCATCGTTAGGCGATGAACAATTCAATCCAGAGGCGAGAAGCCCTACCAATCGGAAGTGTAGACCTCTGCCATCCGCATTCTAGGAAACATATAACCATCCAGAGGCAAGGATCGCTACCATTATAGTTCGAGGAGTCCTGCAAATTGGAGGCGAGGGATCCTAGCTTAACTGATATTAGAAGTTGTTGTTGTCTCCAGTTTGAAGGTGAGGAAGTAGTCGCGGATATTAGAACTTACGTTGAACATAAGAAGTTTCGAAAATGGAGCCTCAGGGAGTCAGCCCCCATGTGCAATTGCCTGGACGCAGGTTAGTCACAAGGATGAGGCGAGTGTGCAACAAGTCGTGTGCTAGACATTAATCACAAGACAAAATAAAAAACTGTAAAATCCTGTGGGTCTAATACCTCAGTTAAGCAGGTCAATAATGTCGAATAAATTATACGGAAAAAGACTATACGAACTACAATCTTCGTTGAGTTCACTATAAAGATAATTCATAATCAGCTAAATACCGTCGTAATTCAGGAATGAGCCAAGTCACTTGTTAAAAGTTTTCTGAATTACATTCGAATTTAACAATAAACAATTTATGAAAAATTAGACAATGAAAGATGATTGCAGCTTCCTGCACGAATTTAACGATTTTGCAGATGATACTCTGAAAATGGATTACCTTCATATATATACATGATTTGGAATGATGGCACTTGACAATTTAAAGAAAATTCCGGTAACGTATTATAGGTTATTTTATGTTAGCGATTACCAGACTTGGAGGTGAAGTACCCAAACGGGAGTATACCTATGTTTATTTAGCGAAGAGGAAAAAGGCAGTTCAACACATTCATGTTGACTGCATATGTAGATGAATTAGCACTTTAATTGTGACATGTGAAGTTTATCAACAAGATGAAGAAGTTTTGGAACCACTGTTCTACTTCTAGAAGCTATAAGGCACTCACTCAGAGGACTCGCATACTGTTCGTCGTGAACGGTGACAAGTGTTAGCTGCATCAAGGTTACGGTTTCCTTGGTACGGCTGGCATAATCCAAGACCCAGAAAGGGGCCTGTATCTAGCAGTTAAAATCGTCAGGAAAGAATCCCTTTACTTTAGCAATGTTGTGCGCACAATTTCATGCTGCTTACACATTATAAATCAAAGTGCGCTCGTTAAGTTCATATTAAATAAAATTTACAACGGATTACACATGAACAGCAGTGAAACAGCCCAACATCGCACTGAACGATATGCTAATTCAAAATCGTAGCACAAGTAAATGGAATGGCATACATACATAAAAAAAACATAGGCACATAGTCCGTTTCAAAAACAAAATTTTTGTTTGAATTAAAAATAATGCCTACCTGTGTCAGGCTGTGGTCTGCCGCACTGGGTTCTTTCTGAGGCGTTCGATTCACAATACTAAAAATTTTAGGCTTTGACTTGCGCCTCGGAATTTTGAGAATTTGAGCTTAATCTCACCATTTCGGGCTTCTGAGCAAGGAATGCGAGCCTAAAGCACTTAAAAGACTATTATTGAAGACATTAGCTGCATTTATTTAATAATGATTATATCACGTGTGTTGTGCCGATGAACACTCGAGCCGCCACATTTAAATTTAAATGAGAAAAAATACGTGAAAAAATCGTAATTGGAACTTGTAGACGAGATACTCGATCAGGGAATGCGTAGAATATGGAATACTGAATAAACAGTTGGAATCACACACGAACTTAGGAAATGAATCATATGAGTATTTCGAGAATAAGGGGTCGCCTGCCGAAGACCACTACTGCCCTGGATGTAATGGACCATCATGATTCCTGCCTTCCGAAACGTAGCCTTCAACACTTCAAGCCGTCCGTATCTAGGCCGTGGGTCGAACCAGCCCTCAGTCGAACGGCCACTTGTCGAAGGACGATAAATTTTGGAACAGAACTATGCTATCTGAAACTTAACCTTCAGATGCGGAGAACGTAAAATTACGTAATTTAACGATGCCCGGAAGTCACATTCGATCCGCGGCCTGGTGGTGCACGGCAGGTTCTATGCGAGGCCGGAGGAATACAAAGCCGAGTGGTTCACGGCTGATTGGTGGATGTCCGGAGAGATCCAAGGTGTTCGATTCAGTGCTTATTGGTGCACAAAATTGGTGGCGCACGGCTGCGCTCCTAAGTTTTTGATAAGGGATAAACTTAAAATAGCGGATAACATATTAAAGCTACGATATTAAGAGAAAAATTTGAACAATTATCACATGTAACGAGAAAGATATATCTGTGAAAAAGCCTGAACACCGTTCATTAAGATGCAGGTGCTAGAACCGCACAAACGTCATTCACTTTCACTTAAGAAATCCATGAAGTTCGTAAGTGAGAATCATAATTCATATGATTTTACAAAATAAATTAATACAATGGACATTGTGAAAAAGCGTGCATGAGCAAATCCACGGCAGTGCAATGCATCGTAGTCGACGTGCTTCTCCATCTCCTCGTTGTCATAGTTGACGGTTGACGTGCGTCTACATCTCATCGTCATCATAATTGACGGGTGACGGGCGTCTACATCTCATCATAATTGACGGGTGACGGGTGTCTACATCTCCTCGTCATCGTAGTCGATGGGTGAGAAGTCACCTGTAGTGACGTTGGCGGGGCGGGTGAAGCCGCCATATTTCATAGGTGCGGTGAAGTACCGCTTGCCGTTCACGCTGCATGTTAAAAGTAAACATTCAATAAAAACGTGGAACCAACAGAAAATGATCACGGTACACGTGACCTAAGAAGAATGAATGGACCACATTTGCTTGTTACTTATTTCATAATGAGCACCTTTAAAACTATTATTAATGGAGGAGAGATTGTGATTACCGTAATGAATATCACTTGTCCCTTTCACACGCCAAGTTACCATAAGTGGTCCATTAAAATCTCTTTTCAAGAAGACCCATCATGGCCCCCAGTTTGTGCACAAAACTTCATTATCAGGCCTCCGCCAATCACCAATTATCAGACAATTCTCTTGTATATATAGCATCACCCCATAACAAGCATAAAAATTTTAATATGAGGATTTAAATGGAAATTATGACTTGGACAACAAAACTGAGTTTTTCCGAATTTTTTTAAATGACAGAAGTAGCAATATCTTTTCAATTATTTAAGGTAACTTGATTGAATTGAATCTTAGATTGGTGTTGTTGACACATGTTTTCTTAAATTTGAATTAAAGGAAAATTTTTTGCTTAGAAACTGCAATTAACAAATTCTCCAAATGAGACTATTCAAATGCGACAAACTATTCCAATCAGAAAAATTTTGAGAATAGACAGAAGTGAATAGGTTTTATAGTGGTTCATATTTTTTTTTTGTAATGGTTTTCAGAAACTAGGTGATCTAGCAGTTATGTTGCCAGTGATCCCTTTTTATGCATGTAGCTATCATTAATAACTCATTCTATTTCTTTCATTTTAATCAGCATTAATCACACTTAACATATTTATATCTATTTGTAGTCTACATTCAAGGCAAAAATGTAATAATTAAAGCAGAGCCAACGTGTACTGACCTGCCATCATTCTTGCCATGAGGTTCATCATACTTGATTCCAATCCACCAGCCTTCCTTGAAGTCTGTCTTGCCCACATACATCACCTCGCCCCGCCTGGTTGCTTCACAAGGTATGGACACCTCACATCTATCTCCTACTTTTATGCTCTCAGCCTTCTGCTGCTCCTGGAGGGCCTCACGCTCCGCTGCTTCATTCTTGGCTGCCATCTCTTCTGGGTTGTATTTGCCCAGCTTGTTGCGCCGCAAGAACGATCGCACACTGTCTGTTTAAACACAAAATATTATTACTTTACAAATACATACAAATAAAATTGCATTATGAAACCAATGAAACTATCATATCAGTGCAACAAAAATTTTAGGTTTGTAATCCAATCGATGATATATATTGAATAAATAGACATATATCAGCCCTGTTTCAAAATTTTGGATGCCTTTCAAATGTTCATGATTAGTGTGAATGCTTGTAAGTGCATTCAAATTTTGCAAGGACAATTTTCTTAAAACAACATGGACATACCATTGCGATTGTCATAACTTTCATCAGACAGTTGAAATTTCTCCACCTTTGACAGGTCCTCAAATTCCCCACATTGTTTGGTTGTGTCTACCACCTGATCAAATAGAATGAATCTCAATTCTGAAATTTCTGATTGTAAATTCCTAATAAAACAATTAATTTTTTGAGCAATATATCAGATAAATCTCAACTATGATTGCAATTTGCAAAATCAGCAAGTCTTAATAAACAATGAATTTTTTGCAACAAAACAGTTTCATTTTAAATAATTTTCAGGCATGAATGATGAGAATGTTGAAAGCACTGTCATGAATAAGAAACTGAGATCTGCCAAAAAAAGCAATATAGTAAATTATTTGAATAAATGCATAAATTCATATGTAGCATATACATAATGCCTGTAATATGTGAAGGAAAACACATAAGAAACAAATATTTCTACAGAAAAATAAATTTTATTCAGTATTATTGCATGAATATGGCATTAGGAGTTGGATTATTTTACATGTATCCTGTAGTTTTCTTCAACTGTATAAGACCCCAGGAGAGCATTGTCATTATCCAGGTGGCAAACCAGTTGATCTTTGTCACTGAAGACTTGCAGGGTCATGGTTGCACATGATGCTCCAGTTATCATCTCCAGACGGGTCTAAATAAATTGGAGAAAAATTTATTAACAATTGAACTATAATATATTTATAGGTAAAAAAATGCTTCCAGTTTGACTGAGCATGGAGAGAGAGAGAGAAAAAAAAAAGAGGAAGAGTTAACACATGATATATACTATATAGGCTACAAGATTTTACAATATTGTTTATTTCATTTGTTAGTAAGTTGTGACTCAGTTTTTTTTACAAAATAAATCGTTTCTTTTGGAGGCCAGCAACATAGTACGAGCTGTGGAAACGTCAGTGACATTGAAAGTAACTACTTATCATTTGTAACCTGCCAGCAGAATTTCAATTTGGGCCAATTTAAACACTCGCCTTCAAATCGGCAATAGTGAGCCCTCTGTCGAAGCGCTTCTCAGCCATGAACTCATTGAGGGTGCTTGTTACCCTCAAGTTCAGGTAAGCTGCGCTCTCAATAGATATACTCATTTTTAATAATACAATTTAGAAGTTCAGCCTTAAATGAGAAATCGAGCAACAGTGCTACTGCTACACCCGTATCCAGGCTCCAGCAAGGGCGAAGGAGGTGACTCAGCGAGGCGCGTTTGGGTCAATCAAGAATCAATTGCGGCGGAAAAGTCTGCCTTCGTCCGGATTTATTACCTAACAGTAAGACGAATGCGAAAAAATCTAATTTTTACGTTTCAGGTACAATGAGATTATAGTTCAACCATGAATGAGATTACTCAGAAAGTAAAAAAAGAATTATTGAATTCAAATTTCTAAATATATAAATTATACGAGCTATCATCATTGCTAATTTAACAATTAGGTTTCACAGGCGGGAGCGTATTCACGCTCATGATACCCCATGGTTGAATTAATACATATGTATTAATTCAACCATGATGATACCCTATGTGGAGCAATACAAAATTATTGACGATTTAAGGTTTCCGCGGTTGCTTCTCATTGTTAGAGTAATATTTTCGATTTTCCATGCCAACAAAGTGCTCGGACATTCTTTCTTCAGCAGAAAGAGTTGCCACATTTTTGAGTAGTATGGGCACAGCTACAGTTTCCATCTCTCATGATAATCTAAAAATAATATGGGTGATAAAGTAAACAAATTTTTATCCGGCGATAGAAAAAAAGAAAGATTATTTGTGTCTCTCAAAAATTGTACTTTTGTCTAAAATGATACTTTTTACAGACAGGGCGACAGCTTACTTCTTTGTGGGTTACTGAGCGAAGTATTTATCGGTATTCTTATCGCGAGATGCAATAGTTGATAACTTGATAAACAAGCATGGTGAAATTTAGTGCGGCTAAATTTAGCGATGTTATTTCTCTTGGTCATTATTTGGCGATCAGAGGAACTTATGTTCTGCAAACGCCGTATTATGAAAAAAGTTACGAGTTCGTAACTCCGTCTGCCAAATTCAATCGACTTCTCGATCTTAACCATGGTTGAACTTAACCCACTGATGTCCGTGAAGACTAGCCGTTGGGTGGAAGGGTAAATACCCTAGTTAATCATTAATAACGAGCAACGGCGCTAGACTACGGGTAACCTCCAAATCCAAGGCAGGAAGAAAAAGTACTGGTTTCTTTGCAATCATTTTTTTCTCGCGACAACTCTAGATTAAGTCTTTAAGACATCAAATATCTGCGAATGGAGCTCTTTCACGTCCAGCACGTAACCCTACGGATGTAGGCACTTCAGTATTTTTGATGGAACCCCAGTTTGTTATAGTATAGTAACTTACTGCGCGGCTAGTGTTCTTTTGCGTGTTCTAAGAATTTGTGTACAGCAAATTTGTATCCAGTAGAGGCATTGGACTAAAAGAATTTGAACGCATTAACAGCTCATCGAATAGGGACACTAGGTTTTCAAGGTGCCATTTCCTCGGATTTTGCTGTGCTTTTGCTCCTCCGGGCAAGTTGACCCACTAGTTGCAGTTCAGAGAAGTATCAGGATTGCAGCAGAGAATTGTGGGTTCGATCCCAACTTCCTGCGACTGTTCTGATCGTATCGGCGAGGAAGTCACGCAATTAAGAATAACAAAGTTGGAGCAGTGAGTTGAGTGTTTGAGACCGCAACAAAGTGCGAATATTCTGATATGTTAAGAATAGGCGACGGATCTAACAGCCAAATGAACGCTGATATCATAATTATTATTATAAGATGCTCATTTCTAGGCTGTATGTAAGTTTTCGTAACACATCGTCAAAATGCGTCTATTCGAGTTTTTACGCGATCCATCAACGCAAATAAAGTTTTCAGATAGTTCATACATTGTTAATGGTACACAATAGATTCCGAGATTTCTTTATTCACACACTGATAGTTTTGAAGATGTTGAAGCCCGACAGTGCGGTGCTGATGACCAAGCCAGGAATTTGCGGATGCCAATGCAGTTCTTTGATTTCCTTTTGTCCCTTGTGCACAAAGAGCAGCTGCTGTGGTATATCCTGAAAAATTAATGACAATGAATATATTAGTGACAATCGTATCAAATAATAAGCGAACGACTTCCATTTAAAAATTGAACATGTCTTCACATACAGAAGCTTGATCGTTATTTCAGGCCAATTGTTTACTAAGAGAAATAAGCGTGCGTAAGCGCCACATGAAAAAAAGAAAAATTGCCAAGTAAACGAGATAAAAAAAAATTAAACGGTCCTTCGAATAATAAATTAAACATGATGAAGTGAATCTGACCTGCTGCGCGTCCTGCTGGTCCGCTTCGATCGACAGGTCCCACTGCAGGAGCTGGTCGTCAGCGCCGGCCGTGGCCAGCGTGCTGCTCTCGGAGGAGTGCCACTCGACGGTCGTGATGGCACCAGTGTGGTAGAGCAGCTCCGCGACGTTGCTGCCAGTCTGGTGTCGGCGTGAATGACAATGCAAGAATAGTGAAAATTATAATGTCAGTTGAAAGAATAGTGAAAATTATAAGGTCAGTTATGATATTTGAAAAGGGAAACATGATGATAAAATAATTTAGTAGCAGGGCTCCACGACGTGGCTGTGATCAACGGGCATGGCAATGAAACTAAAGTTAGTAAAAATCTCAGTTATAATTTTAAAGAAGAAGGATACGCGCACGAAAATGGAAGAGCAGTGAAAAATTGAGAGGTCGGTTATGGTATTTAATAATGTGAGTTTAAAAGTTACTTTTTAAAGACATCACTTCTAAAGAATACAGTGCCTCCGATGTTACACATCTACAATGAATTTCTAATTTTATTTCCATATATTAAAAAAAATTAAATTTTCAAAATTATTTATTGCGTCAATTGATTCATGCATTGTCTTCAACTTTACGCAAGTGTGCAAAATTTCAGATCGATTGGACAGGTAGAAGTGTGTTGAATATCGATTATAAGATTTGTAGCAGACGGACAAACTAACTAACAAACATACAACACGAAGTGAAGTTAAAGAGAAGTGTAGTAAAAAGGGAAATATACTGTTGAACAAAATTTACTAGCAGCGATTATGATGTCAGCTATGATAACAGCACCATAAAATTTCACTAATCACAATGCCAAATTCCAAGAAATTGCGAGAAGCACGAAGAAAAGCGAAAGTATATAATAATCACCTGAGAAAAGTTTGGCATAAAACATTGTTCAATAGTGAGATATGGAACAGGGGGTTCCAACACTCATCAACCAACCTTGAAGTTCCTGAGGTCCCAAATCTTGACTGCGCCTTCGTCGCCACCAGAGACGATGAATGGGTCGTGTCTGTTCCAGTGAATGACGTTGACGTCGTCATTGTGAGCCTCCAGACAGTTAAGCATGCAAGCCTTCTCAGGCCGCGCTCGACAGTCCCAAATGCGAATACTGGAACACAAATGTACAATCATTACGTAGGTAGCGATGCTCTTGGTAAACAATCATTACAATTTAATAGTAAAGTATTAAAACCATTTTATATATTAATACGTACTAAAATGTAATTACTTAAGAAATATGATGCAGTTGCAAGTATATAGGAATTCAATTCCACAAAAAAATATGATTGAACTACTAAAATAATGTAGAAAAATGCACATCATGTGCATTACGTAGAATTTTGCACTCAATAGTTGATCCTCAATCAAGTGATGCTCTGCTTGAGTTTGTGGGCCAGTATGCATTGAAAGTGAGAAGCGTTTTACCTTTTATCAGAAGAGCAGGAAGCAAACACGTGTTGTTCGTTAGGTGACCACTGGATGTCTTCAACGGAGCCAGTGTGTGCCTTGTATGGTGAAACATCCACTACCCACGAAGCACCGTCGCCTCGTGGTCGCCACACTCTGATTGTGCTGGCATTGTCACCAGTAGCTAACGTTCCTAGTGGTGACAATTTTATCAGTATTATTAACGTATTCCACTATTCCCTTTTATATAATATAGTGGTTTCACGAGTTACCATCACAGTTCATTAACTGAAACCTCATTGCAATGTTGGATTAAGGCATAATATTTGAAGCCTCATAGCAGCAATTAACTTAATGGCTGATATGCAACCAACCAGGCATAGAGGTTGACCAATCCATGGCAAATCCCTCAGTTGAGTGGCCACTGTAGGTGAAGATGGGCTTGTGATGTGAAGTTTTTGAGGTGCCAGCGCTAAGCTCCGACTGCATGGGCTGCAGGGCCCATAAATGAACTTCGCCTAGCTCCGACCAAGTGGCTGCAAATTGATTGTTGTTAACTTCTGTTGCCTGAAAAACGAGCAGAATTTAATTTTTTTCACCGAAAAATAATAAAAAACATAATAAAATTTCTCGCTAATGTCATGGAACATTATGTAGATATTAAATTAACTTCGACGTACGAATACAGTAGGGAACTAAATGGTTTGCATCAATTAAAAGCAATTTTATTGTACAATTAATCACTTATAAAAACTTCATTATGCATAAAGATCTCAGTAGCCTGAGAAAAATCACTTGCACTGTGAATAAATTCAACAAATCAACAGATGAATTTCCTGGGCAAGAGAGTTTAGTATTTTTTTGTGTAACACATCCATAAGGTAAGATGATATTTCATCTTATGATTAAATTCGTAAAATTCTTAGCACTTGCATTGAAATTTCAAAAGCAACACAATTGGTAATGATGTACTAATATTGTACATTATTATTACAATATTATTCAAAATGAAATTATGCAAAGCGAGAACACCTACCCGCACTCGGTTCACCACACCAGGATGAACATTGCTCAGTGACAGAACATTGGCAACATCAGAGTCCTTGATGTCATCTTCATCATCGTCACTGTTATCTGGATTGGCGACTTTAGTAAGATTGTTCATCTGCAATGCATCGTTGTGTCAAAATAGATTCGCAATGACGAGTTTCAGGAAATTCTCGCCAGTTCAACACGATACATACATTCATGTGGAGGGTTCAAAACTGTTAAAACTCGATATGGTACAGGTAAAGAAACAAAATTCCAAATGATTTAAATTGCAAGCATGCATGGAATAATAAAAAAAAAGAAATGCAATAGTATACTAAATCATTCATCATTCTTCAAGTGTTGGGACTTAGGAGCTCACTAAAATCCTTAAAGAGCAGGGAGGCTGGTGCACAAAAAAATTGTGAGAAAAACTCACCTGAAGTAAAATAATGGCATTGGAATTGGCCACCCCGCTCTGAGTGCCAGTGACTATGGTGATGGATTGGGGATTATTAACAGTTCGGTTGCTGCCCAAGTTGTCTCGTAAGATATCAAAGCTCAGACATGGAGCCCCTGCAAGAGACAAGTAATGCTCAAGAAATCATAAAATGCTATGGATTGGTAAAAGTACAGCTCAATTGTCCTTCAAAAATAGCAAACCCTTCAAAGTTGTGTTTAAAAGTTTTCAAGTACATACAAGATAATTTATTTAATATTTAAAAGTTATGCTACATTAGAGAAAGCACCGTAATAGATGTATTGATGGTTTTGCAAATGAATATTCTTAAGAAATGTCATTCAAGCAGGAAAATTAAGATATATATGAAACTAACATCACAAACATTTCATATAGAATGAGGACTACAAGCTTACTGATGTAATATTATTACTTTAGGCCATTTTCAGTAGAGTACAAGTTAAACAAATGTCAACATTTTCAGATATCTATTGGGTGTACTGGTATTCAGATTTAGGTTAACCATACTGTATTCTCTTTCTTTGCAAGATCATAAGGTGCTATGGCTTAGACTCTTATCAAAAGAAAATAAATCTTTCATTTGAGGATATGTCCCTACCACATTACCTAATTTGCACAAGGCAAAACTCCAGAGCATAGAATAAAAGCCAACATAAAATAATAGTGCAGAGAATTATAGTAATAGTATAGTATTAATTGATAATGGCAAAGAATAACCACACACACCAGCATTTCCTTCATGAAAGAGCTCATATGCAGATAAATCACATTCAAGCTCAGCTTCTTCTTCTCCATCTGATACCAGCTCTTGAACATCAACTCGGTCACCAGTAGCCTCTTGATCTTCTTCCTCATCTGTAATCAGGTCCTCATCAGCTTCATCCTGCTCATCCTCCATATCAGACATCTCTACATTTTCTGGCTCACTCATAGTGTGGATTGTTCAGGGAGAAAACCACTGCAACTCGATACCACTGCAACTAACTTCTGGAAAATAAATGATATATTAGCAATGTACAACACATATAAAACAGTTTTATAAATGAGTGTTTCTGTCTATATATTTTGCACCAGCAGGCATGGAACACATCAACTTTTAGCTAATCTAGATTGCTTGATCAGTCATAAAAATCTATGGCAGGAGAAGCCTAAATGTCAATTGCACTATTGCAGTCTGCCCAAAATTGTAAAACTTTTGTCAGTTTAGTGTAATGTAATTTTGATTGGTGAGAAATATTACGGCTGTATTTTAGTTTGATAGAAAATATTATGGCATGAAGAAGTGTTATTTCATTCTGTTGTCAGGAAAATGTGCCTAGTGCATGGGAATTTATGTTTTCATTTTCTCAATATGCATGGCATGCAATAATATGTAAAAAATACACCATAACTAAGAATAGTTTAAATGAGGGTAGATGGCAACAATAACATTGTCTTGCAGCAATGTACCTAGCATAATAATAACCGTATATAGTTTCATGCCTGTTCTGTTGCTGCTAGCAGCTGCACTTATGCTATGGCACAATATCTTCTCCCAACCCTGCCGCCAGCCATGTATCAATGCTCATAGCATATACATTAAAACCCAAGTGTATATAGTTTGATACCTGCTGCTGCCAGCAGCTGCAGCTTTGCAATGATGCTGGGTATATCTTCTCACAACACTTGCAAAGTTGCATTCATGTCAGACTCAGACAATCTGCATTAAAAGTTTCTTGTTCCTTTGGCAGAAAAATAAAAATATGCTTTACTAGGCTTTATTGCTATTAATATATAGAAAAATATTCTTGTTTCTATTTATAGGTTAAAATTAGATATTTGGTATAATATTATGTATTTATATAGGTGCACATCAGTGCATGGCCTGGCAAATTACTTAGTGGTTTTGGTAAATGAGAGCATGGCTAAACTAATAGCTTTCTATGGCCATTGGCCATGTTGGCCTGAAATAGGGATTTATTGATAAAAAAATTTATTCAAAGCACAAAAATCAATGAGTAAATGGCTTTTAAAATTCAGTCAGTTGTCACTCATAACTCTCTCTAAGAGTAAATAGATGCAAGATGTTATCCACGCTAGCTGGAATACTGGTTTGAGATTTGAGAAAATCTCCTAGGCTGCTCCAATAGTAGTCCAATGCAGAGCTGGAAAAGTCCTTTTTTTCTGAAATATCACAGCTCTAATGTCATAAATTTTTGTTTGATTGAAAAAAATTGTGGTTTGCACTTTGCAAACATGTTGTTTAATAAAAATGTCAACTTCCACAATTCACAGTAATAGTGCAAAGTACTTCAATGCTCCCACCTCCCGCCAAAACAACATGCAGAACTTAATAACAAGTCAACTCAAAACATTTCCTCAATAAAGATTGCGTAGTTGCGGTTACGTCAGAATGGTCATACTGCATTATCACTTGTACAGTTGCTGCTTAAGTGAAGACAAACGGTGATGCTAGACTTTGCTACTGTTAGTGACTGTCTTTTGTATGCATGGGATGATGGGAGTGATGGGACTTTGTGAATAACAAGTTTGCAGGTCATAAATGGCTTTTCATGGCCGAGATATGGAGTTCATGCCTCAAAGAAATGGATTTACGACTGGCAAACCCATGAAGTCATGCCTCAAAGAAATGGAAACATGGCTGGCAAACCCATGAAGCCATGGCTTGAAAAATCTAGTCGCGGATTGCCAAGTAGTACTAGGCAAGTAGATATATTCCATGCCTGGTCTAATGCCTGCGCCCTGCAGTCAATTATACTTGTTTAAGTTGTTTTTATTGACACTTGACAGTGACTCAGGTCTCAGTGAGTCAGTGACTAGGCCTAACTCTGCTAACTGTGTTAGCCTACCTATAAATAAAAAAATAAGAAGAATTGCATATTTTTGCTTGTAATTTTAGAAAATTATGTCCGAAAGCCAAAACTATAGCTCTTACCCAAAGTTTTTGACAAATTCTATCCAAAATCCAGATTTGGCTGCAAGTCTGCAACTTCCAGTCTTCCAATACAAGTTTATTTACATTTTACAGATAATATGGTATATCTACTCTACTCAATTAGGTTTTAGTAGTTTTTGTTGAACTGTACACACTACACAGACTAACACAGTACTCACACAGTCACACTCTCCCAGTAGCAGTACAGCAGATCAACAATCACAATCACAAATTCACAATGAATACTGCTGACAGAATACACTGAGATTGACTATGAATTCCAAGTTGCCTTGATGTTTTGCTCCAACAGCATAACTTAACTTCAAAAGTACCCTACAGCCCCATAGTATAAATATTCGTAATAAATTTTGGTATTTTTACTTTGAATAAAAAGATTAAATGTTTGTATAATACCTAATTCAGATAAACAACTACGTAGTAATGAACGCCCACGTGCGGCGTGCCCACATCGAGCAAAGTATCCTTGAGTGATGAGCATTATAAATAAAAGCATGGTTACAACTCCTCTCAACTAAGCAGCTTAAGCTTACAAGTTAAAATGAGGACACATGAAATGCAAGTGCAACTAATAACACACATGCCGACATGCGCACCTGAGGCTGAGTAGCCTACCACCAACAAGCAAAGGTGTGGCGTGTGGCCCGTGGGTATCAACGAAGTGAACGAACTATTAGTATTAGCTGTCTTCGACCAGTACCGACAAGAACAAACATCGAACCAAAACGCGTCGGCAACAATAAAAAATATGTTTTTTTTTTAAGAAATATCGTGTGTGATTTACAGTAACTTCCAGTGTAAAAATTAAAATATTATAAAATGATTATCATAAAATGATAATCATGATTTAGTTAAAACTGGACTTTGTTATTTTGTTAATATGTCAATACTCGTACATTATTTAAATAGCAAATTGTTACTTTAGCGACAAGTTAACCTATTGCCTACTGATACATTAACCGTCGCCAATGATATTCGTATAATAGCGGTTTCAGCGTTTATTAGGCCGTAGGCCTGTCGCCGATTCATAACATCGCAGAATATTCACAGCTTGTTGCGGTCTCGAACGCGCAACTCACTGCTTCAATTTTGCTTTGATTAACCGCCCGGCCTCCTTGCCGATTCTAACCAGAAACTGGCGCACCGAGCTGGGATCGAACCCGCACCTCTATGCATCAATCGTGGTACTCTGAACTGTAACCATTGGGCCACCCTGCCCTGTATATGAAGGCCTGGGACCAAGAAAGGTCCCGTCAGTACACAAAGGGACCACCGCATAAAAGCGTTGATCCGAGTTCGGTAATTTCTCAAACTGCATGGTCCATTCCATACAACAAATTTAAATTGGATTATTTCGAGTTAGATACTAAGTAGAAGAATGAGATTTTGTGTGGTAATCACCATTTACCGTTTAGCTTACCTGTATGGCAACAGGATAAGTCTTTGTGGTAACCCGTTGTACGGTATTGTTCAGTTCGTAATAAAGCTCTGCCCAATACGGTGTCACTTCTCTTGGCCCTTTATCCATTAAACCTCGGTCACATCATTTTGTTACAATGCATTGCGTATTCATTTGTCATACGGAAACCAATTCAATATACACAAAACACAAGGAATTGGAATTGGGTGCGTGCTGACCTCCGGTCAAGACCAGTAGATAGGTCATTCACGCGGCATAAAAAGCTCTTTTAGGTGCTTCGAAAATCAAAAGTTCACGTCACACTCGGCGGTTAACAAAAAGTTCAATTAATAGCATTTTACAACAATCCTAACAGACTAAAACATTCCGTTATCCCTCAGACAGACCCACAATAATTGCCATCCACTCTTCGCTTGTTCTCTCACACCCCACTTCGCTAGTCCCACCTCCCTCATTCAGAATCACCTCCATCATAGACAGATACTCTCTCTCGTACGCCCCATATTCCATCAACAAGTGCTCCACAGTATCCTTCTCATCCCCATCACAAATAAAACATTTGTCTTCCCTCCTCTGTTTTCTTTCGCACCAAGCGCCCCTGCTCTGGCACAAAACAGAAGGTCCCCACCTCTACTACCATCACATGCATTCATATCTTGGCATCGCTTTCATCTGAAACGGTTATAGAGAGGTCTTTTCCTCAATTCCTTGCCTCCACAACTTCAGCCCATAGTCTTTCACTCGCTTATTTATTTATCTTTTCCACTAGTTTTCATCCCACCCCATCCCAACCGCACCCCGTGGCCCGTACTGTCGCCACCCACTCGTCGTTTGGCCCGGCAGGTCCATGGCGCACCAATGCTTCATGCATACCACACTTCGGTACCAGTGCATGACATCTACGTGGAACATAACCCTTTATGTTCCACATATACATGTTTCGTACCCGACGTTCATCATCCATTCGCGGCAGTCTCACTTTATACCTCAAAACTGATCTCATCCTTTTCTCCTTAAAGGTACTACGTTCCATATTCTCTCTCAGAGCCTCCACCGCAGTCCACCTGGGAGCTCCTAGTGCCAATCTCGCCACTCTATTCTGTACAATTTCAAGTTAATCTAGCTCACCATCACTATATGCTTTCACATCCAATCCATACATAAAACTAGTAACTGCCACTTCCGCACTTCCCTCAGTACCTCATACTTACTCGCTCTCACTTTTGCTGCACTTTCAAGTACACCCAACCATTGATTTGCCTTACTTAAATTCGCGACTTTTGTTCTCTCACATCCCTCCTGGTCCACACATAACTCTAAGCAAGGTGCCTCTAAGTACCTATACTCATTTGTCCTTACAATTTCATCCCCTCCCAACAGCCACAATTGGCCCAAGTACTTGGCTCTTTTCCGCACTGAATCGCACATTGAAGTCACTCCCATACTCGGTCACACAGACTAGCATACTTTTTAGTTCTTTGATAGTCTGACTCATAATCACAGCACCATAAGCATACAGAAGCATTTTTAACCTCTCGCCGCCCACACGCACATCAACATCCATTCTCCGTTGAAAAGAAGCGGTGACCGGGTGCATCCCTGTCGTACTCTCCTCCTTCATCTCACCCAGTCCGTCTCTACATCCCCATGTCTATATTTTGCTCTAGTATTCACATGCCTACTTCTCACAAGCCTCACATATTTTTCGCTCATTCCAAATTCTCCCAGTGTTTGACGCAGAAGTTCTCTATCAACCCGGTCTATGTCTGGAAAAGATAAGTACACTTTCTATGTCTGGAAAAGATAAGTACACTTTCTTTCCATCTCTTTTCATTCTCCCGATCAGTTCATTCTCAACAAATATACTATCGTCTGCTCTTCAGTAGCATTTAAAACCATTTTGCACGTCACCAAGCACTCTTTCGTTCCTCATACATCTTTGCATCCGCCCACTCATAACCGCACAGAAAATCTTACCAATGGTATCAGCAAGAGCAATCTGTCTGTAATTCTTAATATTCCTTCTTGCTCATGTGATCTCCCTTGTGAAGCAAGGTTTCCCGGCTTTCATTCCACGCGTCAGGTACACACTCATTTGCCCAAAAAACATTGAATAGATCAGTCAGTCTGCCAGTTGCACTCTCACCTCCATACTTACACATCTCATATGGTATCTCATCCGTTCCAGCTGCCTTATTTTTCTTCAGTCGTCTACCGCCCGTTTCACTTCCACATTTGTAATTTCCTCATCTATGCCACTCAAATCTTTAAGTTCTAATGAAACAACTAGGAACTGCCACGCTCTTCCAATAGCGTTACCGGTTGCCGTCGCCAGAACCTGGATCAGTCCGCCGGCTTCCATAACTTCGGCTCCTTCGTTGCAGGTTTTCGCCTAAAGCCGGAACTATTTCGTAGAGCCTATGAATCTAGTGGTTATATCATTATATCTGTTCAAATTCTTTCTCGTGTCAATTTATTTTTCGCTTGCTGCTAATCTTATGTGTGACGTGCCCTCGAAGTTCTTTTGAACCAGACGCCTCGATAAATGCTTCGTGGAATAATAATAATAATAATAATAAAAATAATAATATTAATAATAATAATAATAATAATAATAATAACGTTTTCGCCGGGGATAAATAAGTCATTCATCCCGCCAATGTCTTCCCAGAATTCCTTCACAGCCTCAGGCAATCTTGTTCTCTCAGTTACATACACTCCCTCTACATTCAGCCCATCCACTCTCAGATCATTTTCCCTCTTGTCCCCTCTTTGGAAGGCATGACATTCGCGTCAACCTCTCCGTCCCTTCATAACAAATTCATTTAACCTATTTCGCTCATACTCAGTAATATGGTTTTTGAATGATAGTTTTGGTTCTTCTTTGTTGTTCTTCATGCATCAGTCATGCTTCCTGATATTTTTGTTCACATGTATGGCACATCCGCATCGGTCATCGGCGTTGATGAATAGGCCAAATTGGCCTGTGGCCGACTCTAAGCTTGGCATGTTTCGTGGAGATCTGAGGACTGACTTTTTTACCAGATCTATCCAACACTGGCGCTGTAGCTAAGTAGGAACTGATCATCTACGTACAAGTTTGTGAGGTAGGTGGCACTAATATTCAAAACGTATAATTCTACATTGCTTTATCTAGTCTGTTCATTTTCGGAGCGTCTACTATGCTATAGCAGCTAGGGAGCCCGTTCCACATGTCGGTGAAACGAAATGAGAATTTTTGTCGCATAGATGAGTTACAACGCATTTTTTTAGTTTAGAACCGTGACCCCTTGTGTTGGTTTCTGTTTCATATTCTACGAAAACCTCTGTAATCTTGTATAAGCTATTAGTATTGTACTATTTATACTAATGATGTCACCACCCAAATGATGTCACCACGCAGCGTAAACAACAAAAATAATAAGCTTCAAAAACGAAAACTTTTCTTCATAAGACTTGTCATTGAAGCCTGAAATTATCATTGTCGCACTTTTTTTGAACAATCCTGATAACATTTTATTTTTTTATTTTTATTTTGGTGACCACACGACGTTACCGAACGCTCGGTGCGGGAGCACAGGTGCAAAAAAAAAAAACAACAGCTTCATAGATTTTGCATTTACGTACCTAGTGGTAGAGGCGTCTGATTTTTAGTTTACTGATTTTCAATATGCATAGATAATTTTAGCCTCTGTTCGATAAAAACTCCCAAATCCAGTTAGTAGCTTTTTACTCCCAAGAAAGTAAGTCGGAAACATTTTGCGCTAGACTACAGTTTGCCTAACATTCCACGCCGACGTCCTATGTTCTATAGTCCTGTCATATACAATAAAAAGAAAATATATAAAATTTCCGGCGGCAGAATGTTAATTATTCATCAGGTGCAAATTTGCTCTAATGCATGGTTATGATGAATAAAACACATGTTAAAAAATGTACATGCCTTCATTTATTTGAAAAATGCAGTGTTTCAGTCATATTTAGTTTCTTAACTTGTTAATTTGATCGTCTTCGCGACCGGTAAAATTCTTGCTGAAATCTTCTAATTACTGTTTTAACTTGTCAATGATTTTTAGTTTTGAGCGGCGGGACATTTACATGGGGCACAAATATTTGAAGAGGCTCAGCTTTTCGAAATTATCCACCCTCGTGAGCGAGTGTTTACCAGGTTTTAAAGGAGCTCGCAACCACTCCTAGGAATAACGTCTCTATTGATGAATGCAGAAGGACGAGAATGGCGTGCTCGATGGCGTCGAAAGAAACGCGGCCGTGACGCGGTCTTTGATATGTCGGAGAAATCTTTTAGGTAAACAGGTGTCCGCGAAAGCGGAATGATAGTCAGACACGCCTTCATGAATATCTCAAACTCCTTCAAATTATTGGATGAGGCTGCAAAGCTTCTTGCAATTTGCAATGTCTTTTTTTAATGGCTTTGATGAGGAATTTTTTCAAAAATCAATTTTCTCCGGAGGAAAACATTTCAATTTCAAGGAGATTTCTTCAAGCTTGCAATTGAGCCGAAAATTAACCGGAATTTTTTATGAGGAAATTATTTCGGATATTTATTTAGAGCGGTCTTGTTTATAAATTAAAGGCTATTCCGTGCGTCAAATTTCTCAACTGATTACACGAATTATTCTTTTGTGGTGGTAAAGAAATTTTCCTTTAAAATTTTTAGACATTTCATAGAATAAAATGTATTCACAGTTATCACAATTCCGCACTTTATCTTAAATAAAGAGAAGTGGAATTTCTAATTTCACTTATTTGGCCATAACTATTTTTCAGGTCATCAATAGTTCAAACATTTTAAACGATTCACTCATTAATTTACGTGTATGGAATTATTGGCAGTCCTCGAGGCATTTTGACCTACTAACTAACGGTTTTTTATTAATCACTCTAAACTAATAACCAAGGAAATTATTAATTTTTTAATTCCTCTATTATAATGAGAGTGTTTTTTTAATTTATGTTAATTTTCTTGCCGCAAATAAATGCTACTTACTCAGTATGTCTAAGTCAGGATAGTCAGCATACTTATCTCAGTATGCCGACTCAGTGAAAAATCTGCGGAATAGAAGCCGAAGATTTCAGTACCTCGGAACCATTTCTCTGTTAAAGTTCATGAGAGCACTCGCACCTAAATGCCCGCTAACCATTGTTGTGTATGAACTTCTAATGATATGATATTTAAATATCATTTATGAATTAGTGTGTCAAGAACGCTACAACTAGGAGGACCTTACATCCAAATGCTGTAGAGCAATCGGCTACATTTGTTAGTTACCGAACGTCGAAATTCCAATTAGGTGTCAACCTTGCTTATCCACCGAAAAAAATAGGAAAGTTTTCCTCATTAATGAAATAGCAAAATATTTTTAAGCGAGCACCATAAGGCAAATGATTTAGCTCGAGTATTTCTGTGTATTAACGCATGGGGGGATTGAGGGCATTACAGCACGAAACTCAAACATGGGTCCGGCACCACTGAAAAGAAGGCCATTGTTTCGTGACAGACGAAAATTAAACTGGTGCCATTGAGAGGAGGGGCAAGAGCAGCAGCATAAAGACTGTCCTCTCAAGTAGGCAAACAAACCTCGGCGCCAGCCCTAAACCTTCGTGAATTTTTGATCATGCCTTCTGAATGACTTCTTACCGGGCCTCTTTTGCAGCATCTCAAGCTCGAGCGCCGGTCCTGCTATGGCTTATTCTTCAAAAGTAGCAAAACTCCCGGCACAGAAAAAGACGAGGGTAGCTCCAAAGGAGGCTGTGCTCCTTTCCAAAAACGTCATCATCGATTGACAGGTTAAAAAAATGAGCTTGTCGAATTTTCTTGTACGTTTTGCATGAAAAGGGCTTGGCCCTGAGCATTACAACTTTTCACACTGCGAGTTTCCGATGCTAGTTTTCCGGGTAACTTTAACTGTATCACTTGTCATCGATGATTTGAATGAAGACCATTCCTCCACTAGTTGACTTCAAATAATTTTCCCTACAAAATCAGATTATAGTAAACAGTTTATTAGACTGAATCTTCATATGAACAATTATTTTTTTAAGTTTCTGAACAATACAAGCTGAAATTACAAAAAATTATCTTGAAGAGTCAATTTTACCAATTTTATCGATTTAGTTTAAAGCTTTGATATCACATTATTAACAGGTGTGGTACTGACAGGTGTGGTACTGACATGTGTGGTACTGACAGGTGTGCTACTGACAGGTGTGGTACTGACAGGTGTGCTACTGACAGGTGTGGTACTGACAGGTGTGGTGCTGACAGGTGTGGTACTAACAGGTGTGGTGCTGACAGGTGTGGTACTGTGACAGGTGGGAGTACTGACAGGTGTGGTGCTGACAGGTGTGGTACTAACAGGTGTGGTGCTGACAGGTGTGGTACTAGCAGGTGTGGTACTGACAGGTGTGGTACTAGCAGGTGTGCTACTGACAGGTGTGGTACTGTCAGGTGTGGTACGAGCAGGTGTGGTACTGTCAGGTGTGGGACTAGCAGGTGTGGTACGAGCAGGTGTGGTACGAGCAGGTGTGGTACTAGCAGGTGTGGTACGAGCAGGTGTGGTACGAGCAGGTGTGGTACTAGCAGGTGTGGTACTGACAGGTGTGATACTGTCAGGTGTGGTACGAGCAGGTGTGGTACTGTCAGGTGTGGGACTAGCAGGTGTGGTACGAACTAGTAGATTGTAGCAGGTGTGGTACGAATTCTGCCAGATTGTACTCAGTGTGTAATAAATAATCACCAACAAAAGTTTATTTTAATTCGGTTAAAATGCATTTTTTGCTGGCTACATTAAAGGAATTTATTCTGAGTGCATCTATACAACAAAATTTTGGGCAATGTTTACCTCACTGACGCTGTGATTACACATAAGTTCAGTCGTTACGCAACCGAGTGACGGAAATATATCTTTTACCAGGCTTCACCATCCCAGGTGCCGCTGATAACGTCATTTCGAACATAACGTCACGTAAATTCGAACAAATATGAATTAAAAACGAAGAAAAATGAAATATACCTGAATAAAGAAGAATAATATACGTTTAAAAATTACTTTTTAAAGACAACACTTCCAAAGAATCCAGTATCTCCAATCTTACAGATGTACAATGAATTTCTCATCTAATTTTCAAAAATTAAAAAATTAACTTTCAATTTTTTTATATATATAATTTTTTTAATATATAATTTTTTTTTCAAAATTATTTATTCTGTTAATTGATTTATGCATTGCCTCTGACTTCACACACAAGTGTGCAAAATTTCAGATCAATTAGACAGGTAAAAGTGTGTCAAATATCAGTTATAAGATTTGGAGCTGACAAAATTATTTTTTCAATTTTTTTAATTTTGAATTTTTTTTAATTTTTAAAATAATTTATTTTGACATTTGATTCATGCACTGTCTCCAACTTTACACAATTGTGCAAAATTTCAGATCGATAGGATAAGTAGAAGTGTATTAAATTTCGATTACAAGATTTGTAGCAGACAGACAGACAGACAACTTTAGTTGACAAAACATTTATGCTGTTCGATTGTGCAATAAAAATAAAAATATACGTTTAAAAACTACTTTTTAAAGACAACACTTCCAAAGAATCCAGTATCTCCAATCTTACAGATGTACAATGAATTTCTCATCTAATTTTCGAAAATTAAAAAAATTACTTTTTCAATTTTTTAAATAATTGATTCGTGCATTGCCTCTGATTTCACACCAGTGTGCAAAATTTCAGATCAATTAGACAGGTAAAAGTGTGTCAAATATCAGTTATAAGATTTGTAGGTGACAAAATTATTTTTCACTTTTTTTAATATTGAAAAAAAAAATTAATTTCTAAAATCATTTATTTGACATTTGATTCATGCATTGTCTCCAACTTTACACAAGTGCGCAAAATTTCAGATCGATAGGATAGGTAGAAGTGTATTAAATTTTGATTACAAGATTTGTAGCAGACAGACAGACAGACAGACAGACAGACAGACAGACAGACAGACAAACAAGAAGTGAAGTTAAAGAGAAGTGTTGTAAAAATACATATCCTTCAACAAGAATTTTTCTACCGACTAGTATTTTTTCCAGGCAAGTATTTTTGTCCGGGCAAGTATTTTTGACATGACAAGTATTTTTGTCCAGGCAAGTATTTTTGACATGACAAGTATTTTTGTCGAGACATATATTTTTGTATTAAGGCATCAGGTTGCCTCGTCATGTCGTGAGGCGCATAAGGCACGACAAAGACGCCCTCCCAGGAGGCCCACTGGAGCCTCACAAGTGTGCCTCTTACATCACTTGAGCTTCGCAGCATCAACTGGTGCCGCTTATCTCTTTATCAGCAACTCATGCTACCAATTAACCCAGCCACCCTCGTGGTCCTGGCACCACAGTTGTTTAGTGACACCTCTGTGGCCCTTCATATCTGTGGTCCTTCCATATGTGCGGCCTTTCATATCTGTGGCCTTTCATATTCGTGGCTCTTCGTGTCTGTGATCCTAAATATCAATGGTCTTCATATCGGTGGATTTCTTATTTGCGATGTTTCAGATCTTTGGCTTACATATCTTTGGTTTATCGATATTACCCCAATATACTAAAATCAAATGAAAATTTTAATTTTCAATCCACAAACCAGAAGCAAGATGACAAATTATTGTAAAAAATTTTTGATTCAAAATGTTCATGTTCCAAAACAGGTGCCTTTTACAGATTAAAAGGCGAAAAAACGAAAGTGTAGTTGTTTGAAATTAAGCAATAACGCTTAATAACAATAATGAAATTAAACGCTGTCGCTCTCCGAAATTAAACAATAACGATTCAGTCAATACAGTTAACTATAGAATACATGAGAAATGCGCTGATACTCTGCAATGCTGTGAGGAGTTAACGCCGCAGTTCAGGGTAAACGAATTGCGGAAGTTATCCGAGTAACAAATTGCAATTGCCATGAATTTAATGTTGTATAATTATTATAAAAAACCACATGCACAAATGCCTGTGAAGTGCAGATCATCCTGCACCCAGGCTGGAGGAGGAGGGGGGGGGGAGTTTGGCGCCCCTCAGCGCCAATCGATAGGCTCGAGAGCCCGCGCCTGCTGTCGGTCCCCTCGACGAGTGAGGGAAGCTAAGCGGCGGGCAGGTTTTATAGAGCGGGCCGTAGTGAGGGAAGCTAAGCGGAGGGCAGGTTTTATAGAGCGGGCAGTAGTGAGGGGAGCTAAGCGGAGGGCAGGTTTTATAGAGCGGGCCGTGGTGAGGGAAGCTAAGCGGAGGGACCAGAGTGAGAAATGCTGAGCTGTGTGACGTTATATTCAGAGAGGGCAAGAGTGAGAGATGCTAAGCTGTGTAAAGTTTTTATACAGGTAGCCTATAGTGACGGCATCTAAGAGAACATTTTCGTTTTAACGAATTAGCTTCTGCCAACTGGCAGCCAGTCGATACAAGTTGCATAACTAAACTGCTAGTTGTAGGTATTTTAAAATCTTTTTTGATTTGGCCGATATTACAAATCAAAGCAGGCAGAGAAATTGCTCGTTTTAATATGAAAGCTCAACGGAGACAGGGATACCAAACACAAGTTTCCATTTGTGGATAAAATAAAAATAAAAATACGCGTGGAATTTGATACGGCGGAACAGATTTTTAAACCACATCTGGATTAAATCAACCACCGAAAAGTTAACTACTGAAAAATTGCATTGGCAGTGACACAGCAGAATATTGATCACTATTGGCTAACATCTAAATTTCAATACAGGATATTGTAGTATGTTGTGTACGGTGGCAAGCGCCGAGTTCATTTGATATTTCCCTATCTCATTGGCAGAACCTTATGAATGAATACAGTGATAAAAATTGAATAAGTTTAGTTGACGGCGACTGTTACTGATTAATTAATCTGTATTAATGGTGTGTTTATTATTGATAACTATTTTAATGACGTGTTTGAAATTGACTTAATGTTCATAATTTTGAATGATGCGGTTCAAGATACAGGATATTGATTGATAACTTTGATGCCAATTAATAAATGTAGCTTATAATATTGAGTGAGTCACTGTAAAGCTGTGCACAATTTCGTTTGATTGAAGGTGTCTAACGCGTTAATTGGTTATGTAGTATAATTTGTTGATAGATGAAATATGTTAAAAAACAGTTATTGATTTAGTAATTTTTTAATTTGTTAATACAATTTTTGTCCCTAATGTTGTTTGATAAATTTTTACTATAATTTTGAACGATTATCAACTGCGGCAGCTGATACGCGTCTTGGCGAATCAGCGGCCGCTGAGGCGCTTCTCCAGGAATATCAGTGGCCACTGAATCACATCTCGGAGAACGTCAGCGGCCACTGAAGCACATCTCTTAGAAAATTAACGGCCGCTAAGGCGCCTCTCAGAGAACATCAGCGGCCACTGAGGCGCATTTTGGAGAACATCTGCGGCCTCTGATGGACATTCCGGCGCACATCAGCGGCCGCTGATGGACATTCCGGCGTACATCAGCGGCCGCTGAGATCCGGCGTAGGGCTACGTCGGACGAGAACCGCTGTTGGAGATGAACAAGTTTACCTTCTGCTTCCTTCCTTTCAGTTCTTCAGTTTTCCTCGCGGATGACTGAGCAATTTAGTTGGCAAGCTTTTATTTCTAGGAGAGCATCAAAGCAACAAACTTCATTTTGAAATTGTCGAAAAGTTGAGACGAGGATAAGGCCGAGCTGCAACGAAGGCCCCAATAACTGCATAACTGGCATCCAACTTCACTCCAGTAACGGTTCCGCATGCGCCGCCAGGCCGCTCTCCCCATTGGTTCAGACAATAGCCAATAAACGCGCCTGTTACAACGGATTACAATTCAAATAGACCAATAACGCAACGAAGAACAAAAACTGCCAAGCATTAGCGTAGCCAATGAATGTCGGGAACACAAAAGTCACGTCTCTACTCGGCGATTGAGGGGCAGAGCGAGAAAGCTAGCTGGATTTAGGAGATATTGAGCGCAGCCAGAAGACTCTGATCAGGAACGAGTGTTATTATAGGAAAATGGAAGGCTATATTGACAATGACATTTACTAACTGTCTTTTTCAAGGTGTCTTCCAGGCTTTCATGACTCAATAAGCGGTTGCTTACGTAACTTTAGGAGTCAGCGTAGTTTCGCTACCAGAAGACCGCCAAATGTTGCCATCTCGACTGTGTTTGCGGGGATGTTGAATTATCATGGGCTTTATTAGCTTCATAACGACTCTTCGTACATTCATTGAGCCATTTTCACGGTAATTGCGCTATGATGCTTGAGTCATAATGCTTTCTACTCTATCATTTTCGTTTAAACCTAATGGTTATGTTACCATTGTGAAGACTTACATTATTAACAGAGATATTAACAAAAACTTGCTGGATGCTGGGAAAGAATGCAATGATGACTGTTTTTTCTTGTAAATAAAAAAATAAATGTTTTTTCTCTCTAATAAATCGTGGAAAGGAGAAAGTAAAATAAAAGTATGAATGGAGTGAAAGTGAAACATAAATTAGAAATGTAACAAACAAGCTGCATTAAATCTTATATGGCAGAGAATTCTATCAACGTGCCTCCAAAGAACGATTTAAGTAGATCAGAATTGATATTAAACTCGAGTTGCCTACAGATTTATTTTCCATGAATTGCCTCCTAAGTTGGCATAATATATTTTTCTGTTATTAACTACT